CAAAATTCTCCTTCTGATCAATAAAATTCCTTTGGTCCTTCACAGCTTGCTAAGCCAAGACAGCCTCTTTGCCTGTGGGATCCACCCAAATTCTTTCCCTGCTATTTTCACCACTACTCCGCCCCCCTTTACAAACCTCTTCATCCTTTGTTCCTAGCCCCTCTCACTCCTGCTGGGTTTTCATATCCTCCCACCACCTCCAATCTGTAATCCCATAGCCCCTACCCTGTTATCTCACACAACTTTTGCAGTAACGTCTCTCTCCTAAGGCCATTGATGTCTCCCCATACTCCTCCTTCTATGTCATAAATCCCCCTCCCTTCTGCGCGATCTTCTGTGCAAACTGACACCTTCTCCAGCCGCACCTAGCATAACGTGACACCCTGACTCCTCAAGATGTCTCATGGAAAACTTCCCCCCTCTCTTCACCTTTCGGATGGTTCCACAGTCAATCTGAGGGACGTGCGGGCTCCGTTTAGATAGGATTATTTCTGTCCCCAACGTTTACTGACACAGGATCCCTTTGTTCGCTCTCTCTCTGACTTTCTTCACCTTCCCTTGTGGCCCACGTCTGTCCCTCTCTCTCTTCCTCTCTAGCACTCCCTTTCTTACATTAAGCTATTCTCTCATCACTCTGTCTTCCAATCTCCTGGCACCCTGCACCCTTGACTTTCGTTCCCTTCTAAACACCCAGGCAGGTCATTCACTCTAATAAACCTGTTAATTAAAACCCACATTCTGGGGCCGCTTCCCTCTTACTCCCATTCTGAGTGCTGTGCCAAGGGGGGCTGAAGCCTTTAACAAAGCACCTCCCATCTCAGTGGCAGAACAAGGCACTTATTTCCCGGACACACAAATCAGGTTTGAGTGTTCCTAGGCAGGCAGCTGTCCTCCTGGGCAGCACTCCTAGAAATGGTGATGCAAGGATTCAGCCTCCTTTCACCTTTAATGCTGTCACCTTCAAGGGGGCCCCCAAGGTCACTGCACTAGAAGAATACAGTGCTCAGAAGGAATACGAGATATGTGAGCCAGAAGTAGTACTCACCTCACCTCTGCTTTCATTTCATTGGTCAAAACGTCCCTCCATAGGAACAAGAGGGCCTGGGAAATGTAGCCCTGGGGAGAGACAGCCTCTTCCCAATGACACTCTGGTTATCTCCGTGCCGTCTCTCTGAAAATATTGTCCTCAGCTGTGTTATGATCTCTGAGTATTCTAGCTGGACTATGTATAATCACCAAATTCACTTGGAGGCAAAGCCACCGGTAAGACAAGTTATTTTTTCTTAATTTCGAAATTGTCTCTGGAGAAGAGTAGGTTATGTTCTTAAGTGTATCGCTACAGCCATGGGCTCCCATCGACCTATGGTTGTGGCAACAGCGCCAGACCTGGCAAGAGTCCGTTCGTCTTTGCAGAAGGTCATTGTGAGTCGGAGTAGACTCTACCCCAGTGAAGAACAGGAGGAGCCTCCACCCCTTTCCTTTAACCTTCCAGGAGCCCCAAACACTCGCAGGCACACAAGCTGATGTTGGCAGAGAAACAACCAATACAAAACTGACAATAATTTCATCCCACAGTTTAACATTTGTCAAATATCCTGGATTTGGGGGAATCCATGCTCTACCATTACCTTGAGAGAACATGGATTTTGGTGGAACCTAAGTGACTTTAAACCGTTATCTTCAAGGTACTGATTTCTGACTCATACAGAAGCTTCAAGTGACTCACCACTCTTGCAAAGAGCCCCTGTGTTAAATACCTAACTAGCAGGCACCCTTGATCACACCCAATCAGTCACCAAGGCTAAATATGTGCATGTGTGGAGAGTTCCTTGTGAAGACTAAAAACAGAGTGTTCATCTTACTGTGATTACAGTCTACTAGCATTTGCATTTTAACTTCTGATTTTTAGAGATTTAATAAGGGGGGCAGGGAATCTGTCTCTGAGCTCTATGAGGGGCTTTAAAAATTGAGTCAGAAACTTTCATGATCTTTCAATTCCATTTTCTCATGAATGTTTGAAGCCCCCTCATCTATCAAATCTCAACACAGGTGTATTTATTCTCTCCGGAAATACTATCACTAGGAAAATGAGCACCTTTGGGTTAATCCCCTTAGTCCTTTTGGGTGTTAGCAGAGTCAAAGAGGAAATACACTTTTCTCAAGAGAAAATCTTAGCACATAAATATTCTTTTCAGGGACTGTTCCTTTTCTTTCTACCTGCTGAAGCAAAGGCTTTCATATTAAAAATAAAAACCAAACTCACTTTTTAAAAGTTAACGCTGACTCATGGCTACAGCTCTGTGAATCTGATACTGAAGTAGAGAAGGCAGTTTTTCTCCTTCAGAACATCTGGAGGCCTCAAACTACCAACCATGGGGATCACAGACCAATGCATAACCATTACACCGGCAGTACTCCAGTGCTTAAGAGCCTCAAACTTCCACAGTACAGAGTACCCAAACCACAATGCTGGTCGGTGAAAACATCACACATTACACTTTCCTTATCAAATTATAATTAGTAGCTGACTCATTTCAGTCTTTCAACAATTCCGCTTTCTGCACAATTGTTGCACATAGGTTTGCTGCAAATATTTCAGTAAGGTTACTACAGACAAACTCCGTTCCACAGAGCTTTGACACAAGTAGACTGACATGCTCTTCCCACCCCACCTCCAAACCCAGTTGTCCAAAGCATTGGAATGTGCAAGTTGTGAGGTAGTTGTATTACTTTCCTATCGCTACTCTACCAAATTACCATAGATTTAGTGGACTAAAATGACAGCTATGTTATCTTACAGATCTGTAGGTCAGAAGTCTGCCATGGTTCTTACTAAGCCCAATTCAAGATGCCAGCCGCGTAGCTAGGGGCTGCCCATATTCCATGGTCTGTGGCGGCCTTCTTCCATCTTCAGTGATGGCAACCTGGAAGCTCTCTCCCCCTTTATTCTAAGGTCGTATCACCCTCTGAATACAGACAAGAGACGTTCTCTGCTTTTAAAAAGCATGTGCCTTGCTTGGGCCCACCTGGATAATCCTTCAATATAAATAATACCCTATTTTTAAGTTTTTAAGTACTTTAATCACAGGCTCTTTAAGTGGTGCCGAACTTGCTTTCAACCATTAAGATATCTATAGATAGGTAATCTGTAGATTCACTGGTCATTGCATCTGGAGAAAATAAAACCAAATAAAAACCTAAGGACAACTCTGAAATAAAACACAAAGAATCCTCCATTTACACGAGAGCAAAAAGTAACATAAAGGGTATTCTGAGGCACTCAGTGTGAGAGCCAGGCTCCACATGTCACCAGTCACTGGTGCAATGGAACTCAGTTGAGCCTTATTCCGGGTGTGAAATCTGCAAACGGATTTTGGGTTTTCACAGTCATCTTTAATCTTATGCAAACAAGGAGCTCAGATTTAAACCTTAATTCAATTTCGTGCTCTAATCAAGGATTTTATTATTTACCATTCTTGGATCACTAGGGGCTGGTGTGCTTCCTGGTGGCCTTAGCTGACACCTGGTTTAGATGGCTGCTTGTTTTAAAACAAGCTTTCAAGTCCCCAGACAATACTCTCTCAGACACAGGGAAACTGGTCTTTTCAATCACCTCCTTTGCATGGGAAAAGAGGACATGCATTTTGAAGTTTAAACATTGAGTTGTTTTCTTATTGAGTTTTAAGAGTGTGTAACAGATCTTACGAAGTCTGGGCGCGTCATGGGTTACGCGATGCGTAGCTCAACACCAGGTCAACAGTTTAAAACCACCAGCCCCTCTGTGAGAGAAGGTAAGACGTTCCGCTCTCGTCAAATGTAGTCTCATAAGCGCAGAGGGTCAGAACGGCACTCTCCCTGAGGTGTTTTGTGTCTCAAGTGAGTATATGCCAGTGAGTTTTATGTTTCTTGGTTTTTAAGACATGTGCTATCAAATTCACCTGGACAGTTGCTTCTAGTCTATAAAAGTGAAATCAGATTGTTTTCTGTCTTGGTGGGAGCTTTCCTTGCAGTTCCTTTGAATTTCTAAATAGAGCTCTTCTCTCCGTGTCCCTTTAACTCTCACCAAGAATCATAAAATACAGCGTGTGAAACACTGACAGAGAGAATGGGTCAGTTTTAGTTGCCATCCCCGCATGCACAACAGAGTCATTTCACAAGCAGAGAGTGAGGGTTTAAGATCCTCACTTACAGTGAACTGTTAACATTCCTTAGAAAGACCCATAGTGGGAAATATTATCTGTAGGTTAGTTGGGCCTATTGGAACAGATTGTAAAGCCCAGGAGAAAGGTATAGTTTTAGGAGTCAATTCCTGTTGTACGTAAGGAAGGGTGGAGAGTGGAGGCACGTAGGACCATTGTCTCCTGGAAACCTGCCTTCTGTTGGTGAGGCATTGGATTTTCCTCTTTTCTGAGCCCAAATCAAGTGAGATACAGCCTTGTGCCATTCACTCCTTCCCAGACATAGGACCTCCTTGTTGCTCTCTGGAGATAACCCCCTTTAAGTGATGCCCGGCCAACTTATTCTCATTCTCGCTGCTGTACGGTCTCTCTTCCCCTCCCATTTTAAATTTCTTATTTATAATTCTGGTTCTGCTACTCTCTCCTCCTTACCTCAAGAGAGACAGTGAGACCACCAAGAGACTTGTGGGAAGAGCCCCCATTACCCATCCCACACCCCTGCCCCAGTGAATTTGAAGGGTGCTGTGTTTTCTGACTGGAGACCCAGCAGACCTTCCAGGTTTCCTAGGGAGCCCCAGGCCAACTCCAAAGCCCCCACACTGCAGGGCTAGCACACACTTTCTTGAGGGCGAGGAGCCAGAGTTCACATGACTGTGTCCTCTGGGTGTCGCAGACATAGAGCAGCGTTAAAGAGACTATGGCGGCAAAGAGGACAGCTTTCAAAAAATCAAACCACAGTTTCAATTTTAATGGTCTCATCAGGGAAAGTATTGTTGATCGACATTTTTAATCGGATTTTTCAATATCTCAGGGTGATACCAATCACTTTTGAGACATAGCTCCTAGATTTTCCAGAATTCTCAACCATACCCATTTTCTCAGGTTGGAATAATTCCTCTGTCTCCCCAGTTGTCTGCTGACTAAAAAGCTCATCACGTTTAGGGGGACCAGCGTCTTCTTAAAGTATTCATCTGTCTTCCTGGTGGTTGGTATGATGGTGCTGAGAGTAATATCATAGTGTCCGGCCACCATGATTGCTGGACTTTACAGATGACTTCAGAAAGACAACACAGTACAGAAATCCTGAGAAATGACGATAAAACTCAGAATTACCTGCAAGGGAAATGATAAGGGGCCCCAGAAGTCCCTTCTGCATTTCTACATCCCTGAACCTATCAGAATCTGTCTCCTGTTCATTCTGCCTCTGACACACACACGCACACGCACACACACAAGCCAATTCTGCCCCCATTTTGATCCCAACATATATGACTCCCATTCTAAAGTGACCATTCTGTTCCATTAATAACCAGTTTAATTTCCAATCCTATAGTTGTGCTTTGTGCATGTATTATGACAACGTCCAGCTCTTAAATAATCCCTCAAATTTTCTCAAAATAACTTGATAATGTAGAAAACTAAGTAGACACATACAAGCTCCTTGTAATTTAATATTGGGGTTGCAATGGATTCAGATATTAATTAAGACAAAGCTCTGGGCTCAGGTTAAACCTCTGATAACTCTTGAAATTCTACATCTGAATCCCAGGTGATACCCAAATGCTTCACACTGTAATTTTAAACATGGGATTGTTCTATATCACACATTTGGTAAATAAAGCATCAAGAGAATGATATCTATGCACAAAGAAAACATTTACATCATTAAATACCCCACTTGTCATGTGAACTGTACATTACAAAGGCAGTCATTTCAAAACCATGTCCAAGGTATACCCAGGAGATGAACAAAGAGCCGATAGTTCATTTTAAAATTCGATCCCTGGTTAGATCTTGAGACCCAAGTAGCTGAGCCCCAGCACCAGGGACAATGAAAAATCGGAAGGCCCTCAGAGAGATGGATTGACACGGTGGCTGCAACAATGAGCTCAAGCATAAGAACAATTGTGGAGATGGCACCGGACGGGACAGTCTTTCTTTCTGTCCTTCATAGGGTCACATTGGGTCAGAAGGGATTAGATGGCACCTAACAACAGCAACAACTTCAGTCAGTCCGCTGAAATACAACCGATACTGTCAATATCTCACACAGGAGAAGTGTCCCTTGAGAGTGTATCATGGGGCAACAGAGAGCTGTGAGGTCAAGTTAGCTGAATTGCCCTATCCAGAGCACAATAGAGAGATGGTACTCACCCAAAGAATATCTGTCACCTCCTCTCGCACCAGCCACTCAGTCCTGTATCAGGAGCAGCCAAAGTGGTTTTGGCCACAGCTGGGCCACTGTTGACGCAAGTGTGGTCTCCAGGTTCTGAGGCCATTGTCAGTTACCATGGCGCCTCTGGGTGCTTACCCAATCACGTGCAGGGTCTTAGGGAACTGTTGGGGGTGGGGAAAGAGAGAGTGCAGCTCTCCTCTCTTTCCATGTGCTCTCTTCCAAGGGTGATCAGACTTGGTTGAGGTTCTTTCTACTCCTCCTGCTGACAGAACTCTGGCTACCCCTGAACCTCCATTGCTGCTCTGAATCAAGTCAACGGTCAGTCAGGCAAAACCTTCACACCAGAGCACCGGGCAATACCTGTGTATGCCACTATAAATGAATAAACTCTATGAATACCAAGCCCACTGGTTACTGGCAGGTGGAGGGCCATTTCCCCATAGAATAAGGAGGCTAGGTGTCGAGGGGGTTGGGGCATGTGCTCAGGAGATGGTCTGTCTTTGTGATTTTGGACATGAACGTCCTTTCATCACGTGTGTGATCAAAATGGACACTAGGTACACCCAGCTCCAAGCTTGGAGCTGTGTGACATTCCCAAAGCATTGTACACCCATGGGTTGTTGTAGCCCACTACCGGGTGTTACCTCAATCTTCAAACCACTGAGAGGACGTTTCCAGACACGTCAGCACGACATGCCTGGGAAACAGAAGCAGGTTTCAGCTTAAGAATTCACAATTATGTCTTACACACGGAATCTAGGTCAGACAAAGCCCCCAGGAACAGAAATTGGAGTGGCAATACCAGGAGGACAGGGGAATGTGGAGGGATGAGTGGAAGAAGGGGGAACCGATCACAATGATCAACACATAACCCCCCAGTCACAGGGGGAAGCATGGCAGAAACTATGCTGAAGGGAGAGAGCAGTTGCTCAAAGATATGAAAATAATAATAATTTATCAAGGTGTCACATCACGGGGGTGGGAAGTGGGGAAGAGAGGGGAAAAAGGGGAGCTGATACCAAGGGCTCAAACAGAAAGTACACGTTTAGAAAATGATCATAGCGAGACGTGATGCCCCTCACTGGCCCATGGCCCTGCGGGGGACAACACCAGTGACACAGTGTGGGAATTGCGCCTGATCTGACCCCGCCATGCCGAGGCAAGGCACTGGGGGGGTGCAGCAGAACAG